TTGAAACTCTTTGATGTCAAATTCTGCTTCCTTCATATTGTTCCATACATTATTTCTGCCTTTTGTCTTATCTTGTTCATCTATTACTGTTGAGTAATAAAGATTAATGAAAATTAATAAACATCCCGCGATTCCTTGAATTCAATATGGCGACCGCATCGGTAACTATATTTATCATACCTAGATGAAATAAAATAAAATACCTATATTTTTCTCTTTCGAAAAGTTGTTATTTTCGCTAGTGAAAATTTCTTATTATTTTCACTAGTGAAAATAATATTATTTATTATTATTTTCACTAGTGAAAATAACACATTTAAGGTTTCTCTATATATTGGAATTAAAAAAATGTATTTTACGATATAATTTTCTTTCGAATATAATTATATGATAAACAGAATATTACATGATCGCTTAGGCGCCCATGTAGATCCTCTCTATATATGTGAGAATACTGATTATAGGAAAGCTGATAAAAAGGATAATGATGATGATAATAATGATACCAAATGATCTCACCTTCATCAACTAAAATTCTTTTCCAAAACAGCGGCCTCATCTCAACTCCTGGCTTGATAACACCTTTCCTAGGTCTTACTAGACCCTTTGACAATCCTCCCGGTGGGGGAGGTGGTGGGGTTGCACCCGGAGGGGGTGGTGGTGGTGGTGGACCACCAGGTAAAGGCGGTGGGGGTGGCGGAGGAGCACCCATTGCTCCCGGTGCGGGAGGGGGTGGTGGTGGCGGMGGCGGTACAGAACTACCACCAGGGGGTGGTGGTGGGGCAGGAGGTGGTGCTGCTGGTGTACCTCCTTCAGCTGTTAAAGCGTTCAATAGTTTCATTTCTTCAAGTTCCTCTTTCAGTTTGGCGATCGTGGTTTTGTACATTCCTAYGACACTTTCGTGTTCTGTTTTTAGTTTCTCGAGCTCGTTTCTGAGTGAATCCGCCTCTTCATTGTCACTTTGTGCCATCATGAATGGCATTGTGGGATGTCGAACTCCTTCTTCTCGAAYCTTTGCTTTTGGTTCTTTCTCTTCGACCTGTGGGGKTGATGGTGAGGATGCCTKTGGGGGTGATGGTRAGGATGCCTTTGTGGGTGATGSTGASGATGCCTGTGGGGGTGGGGGTGGTGGTGATGATGGCTGGTTTRCTTTCTCTCTTCTCATTCTAGACCTTGTTTTGTTATCCTGTRCTGATTCTAAGCTTACATTCGCTTTCGTTGTCACTTTGCTATCCTGTGCTGGCTTGACGCTTATACTCGTCGCTAATGTTGTTTTCTTTTCCGACGTATTACTTTGAATGTTTCGAGTTTGTCTTTCAATCACGTCACGAGAACTCGTCTCTGCCTGTTCTGTTTTGTTTTCTGTAATCCGATTATTGTGAGAATCGTTTCTGTGTTGGTTTTGATTTGACGAAGATATATTCTTTACTGGTGTAGAATTTATAGTCGTRSTTTGKTGAACACGTCGAGGAGATGCCCTACCATGTGCTGGGGTCAMTTGAGTCACTTTCTCSTCATCCTTAAYCGGTTTGGMTTGTATTACACCCATCTTTGGTAACCCATTTGAAGTTCTCTCACTTGTGATATGACTTTGACTAGGACTTCGCGTTTGGCTATCGTTATTCTCAGCTCTTGCTCGGTCTTTCCAATACACAGGAGTCCGTTTAGTTGGACTATTAGGGTTACTATTCCCTGGTGAATTCAACACAATATGCTCTGAMGAAGTTTTTCTAATTTGCTCCTTTGGTGTTTGCTCGACCTTTTTGCTAGCGATAACAAACGGCGACTTTGCTGGCGTTCTGCCTAARCTTCCTGTTMCTGAGTTTCCTTTTTCTCTTTCTTGAGCCCTTCTTTCCGCGAAGCTCATTCCGTTTGGAATATTTCCATTTGTTATTGGCGAATTCGTAGATGTTGGTGACTTTGGCGTGATGTCTACAGTGGACTGGACTTTTCTTGTTGGGCTTCCTGTGCTGGGCGATTTTGAGTCGTTTTGATTGGTTGGTTCGATTGTTTTACTATCGCTGCCATTGGCTGCAGTCGCGCCTCTATTGCCCGGTGATTGGACGTTATTGTTCGGTTCACTTTCGTCTTTCTTGGTATCTAGTCTATTTTGGTCAGCTTGAAGTAAATCGGCTAACGATCTTGGAGCCCCGTGCCGACGAACTGGTTTAAGTTTAGGGGTAGTCCACGCTGGCTTGTCATCCTTTCCATCGCTTGTTGTCGAATAGGAAAACTTTTTGGACTGAAATGACGAAAATTTGCAATTAATTCATTTTGACTAAATCGAATTAAAGGTCGTGTAGGATCATCATGACATGATCATCATTATCATTATCATCAACACAGCTGCCATCGATATCACAAGGAAATGTGTTCATACACAGCTATTTCTGAAGGCAAATGTGTCATAACTCTGAAAACGTAAAATGACTGTTTTTTGCCTGCTGACGCGAAACATAATAGACTTCCTCTTGACTTTTCACTTAAATTTTAATGATATTAATGACATCCACAATGACCTGTCAATAGCCGACTTCAGATATTTATGTTGAGAAACCATGAACAAGAGAATTATAGACGAGGTTCAAGGGAAACAATGGGTAAAATCTTAATGTATTCTCTTATTTCCCCAAAGCCTTGTCTACAATTCTCATGTACATGTTTACACCACAAAAATATCTAAAATCGGCCATTCTTCATTAAAAAAGCTCTAAATTGACTGTTCGTGAGAATTCACTTATAAATTATCAAGGACATTTGTGTATTGTTTTTTTTTCATTCTTTAGAGGACGTAGAAAGCAACAATGTTACTAATACGCATCAATATGGGCGCGACCYGAATCATATCCATACCTGTGGTGTTTGTTTCCCTGAAGAAACGGAACTCATGACGAATCGAGGATGTTATGKTGTCTCACACCTCTTATTAGACGTTGAAATCTATGATAAATTAATAATCAATAATATCGATAAATATGAGCATGTCATTATAATGATTAAAAAACATAATCATCATTGTCCACATACATCATTATTATAATGTCCTATTATCCCTACATGGAGAAGTTCTTTGCGTTCGGTTTTGATTCGGGGTATTTCAGAATATTGGGTGTTGTAATGATATCAACATATACAGATCATTTATTAATGCACAAGCAGTCAAAAATAGAAAATGAAAATAAAATGACGCACAGGAACTGATCAAAAGTCTGACATTTCGTCACAGCATGCAGTAGATAAATCGTCCAATATTCAGACTTATAAGGGARAAGATTTAAG